AGAATGACCAACTTGACTGGTCACAACTTTTTTTTTTTTTGAGAGATATATAGAAGAGTTGTTACATTCTTGTACAGCCACTAGTACGCGGAGCGTTTCGGGCAGGTCCCTGGAATACGATCCCCGCCGCGAAGAATCGTTGTTACAACCAAGTACACATTTTACTGTTGAGTTAAACAGAGGCTACAGTTAAGGAATTGCGCCCAGTAAATCCTCCCCGGCCAGGATACGAACCCATGACAAAGCGCTCGCGGAACGCCAGGCGAGTGTCTTACCACTACACCACGGAGACAATGAACTTAAATAGTTACTGAATACTGAACTGAATACTAAATAGAATACTGAATTTAAACAAATCACTACAATACTGTCTGGACTAAACAGATGTGTGTAGCTATCTAAATAAAAACAATGCCATTTTAGGCCAAAAATGAGAGACTGGCGGTGTGTATCAGTCACCTATGACTGTTGGGGGTCACTTCTTGAAGCCATCCACTCTTAAGACAGTGAGGGTGCTCAAGCCGCCCACCCTGCTCCAGCGGGTAGCCGCTCGCCATATAGGATCTTTCCTATATATGTTTCCTATATGATGTATGTTCATCCTGTGAAGGAACATCTGCCCCCAGTATACAGGATAGAACATATACACAAGAACTGACGTGAACTCGGGTACCAACGGGCTAACGAGGCCATTGGTCTCCCCATTACCAGCTAACTACACACACACTGTATAGGAAGACGATACCTGAATCCTGTACAATATTTCCCGACTACTCGTGGTTCCCAGAATGATTACTGGAGAGGTAAAATAGGGATTCCTTGTGGCATTGTTAGTGAAAGTATTCACATGTAAATAGTCGAAGTCACTCCCAGTCGAAGCACGTTGTATACGAACACGTCTTTCCAGAGGTGCAAGAGTCCTCGTGTGTACATGTCTATGGTAGACCAGGGGCCAGATTCACGAAGCAGTTACGCAAGCACTTATGAACATTGTACATCTTTTCTCAATCTTTTGCAGCTTTGTTTACAATTATTAAACAGTTAATGAGCTCGGAAGCACCAGGAGGCTGTTTATAACAAAAACAACAGTTGATTAGGAAATAGTCATACTTGTAAAGTGTTTAATAAATGTAACCAAAGCCGTCAAAGATTGAGGAAAGATGTACAGGTTCGTTAGTACTTGCGTAACTGCTTCGTGAATCAGGGCCCAGAACTTGGTTCCCTGCGGCCAGTGGCTGCGGCCTCCACCTTCCCCGCAGCTTCTCTATTACCAAGAGACACGATTTGATCAATGTCAGGCAATTATTGTCGGCCTTCTGTTGTTTCCTTAATTGGTAAGACCTGTTGTGTCTAGTCTTTGTCCTTTTACTCTCTTGTATACAGTAACATTCTTTGCCTTTTGTCTTTATGTATATGTTGCAGACGGCGGTCACTATATTGGTGTTGCACAGACAGTCTTTTTGTGAAACCCTGAATGTCTTCTGCAATGTTTAAATACACAACTTTTATTAATAACATCACGTTTTCAATCTTAAAATCACTCTGCAGAACCTGTTATTTGCTCAGGTTACTTACCATCGTTAAGAAAGATAAGATCACAAAGATAAGACAACAGTCATATCAAGTCATCAACCGTTGTGTCCAGTGAAAGGTTTGAGATCATCATAAAGAGACATAAGACATGCTCTGGGCCGGCTCCAGTACTTCTTTCTACATAACACTTTAGGATACGGACCGACCAATGAGATTCCCCCATTGAAGGAGGTATAGTGTCTAGCGTGTGTAGCCATAGTCGGTAGTTAGGAGTCGTTTGCATACCATTGATTAATGAAGATTAAGCCACCCAAGAGGCAGCACGGGCATGAATAACCCGAAAGTTTGCATACGGCATTCAAGGAGAGTAATAATCCGTGTCACACCTCCACCACACCTTCAAACACCTCCACCACACCTACAAACACCTCCACTACACCTACAAACACCTCCACCACATTCAGTATAATAATCTCATGATTTGGGTAGAAGACTCACGGGTTATTCCTGCCCGTGCCATCTCTTGGAGTGGCTTAAGTCTCCATGGTGTGGCAGAGCGCGGGCTGAGACACACGAGAGAGAACAGTCACGGGGAAGGTCAAGCAATATGAGGTCGTCTGGGAAATGGTGGCCAGAAATGGGTGGACTGGATTATACGTCGGGAGATGGGGTTTTGGCGGGAAGAGTGGGAAGGGTGAATGGGGACGGGGGCCGCTGTGAGGGGTGAAGGGAAGGGGAAGGGGGTCGTGGTAAGGGGTGAAAGGAGGGGGCGAAATACATTCGATGAAATCTTTTATCAAGTTGGTGAGGGCCTCAGGGGAGTAAAGTTTCTAGTGGACCTCCTTATCCTCCTTCATCTTCCTATCACTCCTCCTCCTCCTCCTCCTCCTCCTCCTCCTCCTCCTCCTCCCCCTCCTTCTCCTCCTCCTCCTCCTCCTCCTCCTCGCACTCTTCTTCCCACTCTTTCTTCTGTCTTTTGGAAGTGGGGCTGGTGGAAGACAGGTGGGGCTGGTGGAAGACAAGTGGGGCTGGTGGAAGACAGGTGGGGCTGGTGGAAGACAGGTGGGGCTGGTGGAAGACAGGTGGGGCTGGTGGAAGACAGGTGGGGCTGGAGGAAGACAGGTGGGGCTGGAGGAAGACAGGTGGGGCTGGAGGAAGACAGGTGGGGCTGGTGGAAGACAGGTGGGGCTGGAGGAAGACAGGTGGGGCTGGAGGAAGACAGGTGGGGCTGGAGGAAGACAGGTGGGGCTGGTGGAAGACAGGTGGGGCTGGAGGAAGACAGGTGGGGCTGGAGGAAGACAGGTGGGGCTGGAGGAAGACAGGTGGGGCTGGTGGAAGACAGGTGGGGCTGGTGGAAGACAGGTCGGTCTGGAGGAAGACAGGTGGGGCTGGTGGAAGACAGGTGGGGCTGGAGGAAGACAGGTGGGGCTGGAGGAAGACAGGTGGGGCTGGAGGAAGACAGGTGGGGCTGGAGGAAGACAGGTGGGGCTGGAGGAAGACAGGTGGGGCTGGTGGAAGACAGGTGGGGCTGGAGGAAGACAGGTGGGGCTGGTGGAAGACAGGTGGGGCTGGTGGAAGACAGGTGGGGCTGGTGGAAGACAGGTGGGGCTGGAGGAAGACAGGTGGGGCTGGTGGAAGACAGGTGGGGCTGGAGGAAGACAGGTGGGGCTGGAGGAAGACAGGTGGGGGCTGGAGAAAGACAGGTGGGGCTGGTGGAAGACAGGTGGGGCTGGAGGAAGACAGGTGGGGCTGGAGGAAGACAGGTGGGGGCTGGAGGAAGACAGGTGGGGCTGGTGGAAGACAGGTGGGGCTGGTGGAAGACAGGTGGGGCTGGAGGAAGACAGGTGGGGCTGGAGGAAGACAGGTGGGGCTGGAGGAAGACAGGTGGGGCTGGAGGAAGACAGGTGGGGCTGGAGGAAGACAGGTGGGGCTGGAGGAAGACAGGTGGGGCTGGAGGAAGACAGGTGGGGCTGGTGGAAGACAGGTGGGGCTGGTGGAAGACAGGTGGGGCTGGTGGAAGACAGGTGGGGCTGGAGGAAGACAGGTGGGGCTGGAGGAAGACAGGTGGGGCTGGAGGAAGACAGGTGGGGCTGGTGGAAGACAGGTGGGGCTGGAGGAAGACAGGTGGGGCTGGTGGAAGACAGGTGGGGCTGGTGGGAGACAGGTGGGGCTGGAGGAAGACAGGTGGGGCTGGAGGAAGACAGGTGGGGCTGGTGGAAGACAGGTGGGGCTGGAGGAAGACAGGTGGGGCTGTTGGAAGACAGGTGGGGCTGGTGGAAGACAGGTGGGGCTGGAGGAAGACAGGTGGGGCTGGTGGAAGACAGGTGGGGCTGGTGGAAGACAGGTGGGGCTGGAGGAAGACAGGTGGGGCTGGAGGAAGACAGGTGGGGCTGGAGGAAGACAGGTGGGGCTGGTGGAAGACAGGTGGGGCTGGAGGAAGACAGGTGGGGCTGGAGGAAGACAGGTGGGGCTGGTGGAAGACAGGTGGGGCTGGAGGAAGCTAGCAATAGTAGACACTGTTATGAACTATCCCAACTATACTTAAGGATGTCACCATTACCCTACTATTAAGGTGTGTCCTTAATAGTAGGAATAGGCAGTGTAGGGACAGAGGAGGGAGAGGTGTGGGAAAGGGGGGAGGGAAGGAAGGGAGAGGTGTGGGGGAGGGGGAGAGGGGAGAAACTCTGGTATCGTGGGGTGGGACTTGGGTGTGGTGGGGAGGAAGTTGGGTGTTGTGCAAGTCTCTTCGGTGAAGTTGCGGGGAATTTGGTGTATTAGGCGCCTGATAGCTAAGTGGACAGCGCTTCGGATTCGTAGTCTAGATGTTCCGGGTTCGATCCCGGTGGAGGCGGAGACAAATGGGCAAAAAGTATCTTTCACCCTGATGCCCCTATTCACCTAGCAGTAAATAGGTACTTGGGAGTTAGACAGCTGCTACGGGCTGCTTCCTGGGGGTGTGTTACAAAAAGGAGGCCTGGTCGAGGACCGGGCCGCAAGGACGCTAAGGCCCGAAATCATCTCAAGATAACTCAAGATATAGGCGGGGAGGGGGGGGGGCATGGGTGTGGAAGGGGTAATTGGGTGTGGGAAGGGGATAATTGGGTGTAGTGAGGGGTGGTAACTGGTTGTGGTGGTGGGGGAGAGAGGGGTGTGGTAGGGGGTCCATGTAGGGAGAAGGGAGAGGTGGTGGCGGGGTAAATCAGGGCAAGATGGTGTAGGGGTGCGGGGATATTCCCTCGGGGGGCGGGAGACAATCTCTTAATGCACGGGGACTATTACCACGGTGGTACGCGTGCTGGGGTCGTAACTTGTCGCTGACAAGGTGCTGGGGAGGAATGTTGGGGCCACCTATGGCCTTCCCCAGGAGGTGGGGGGTGTTGGTGTTGGGGTGTGAACCCCCCCCCCCACCTGCTCCCCCCCCACCTGCTCCCCCCCCTACATGAGAACCTGTCTCCCCTCCCCCCCAGGGTTCAACGTCAACCACTTGGACATCGCCCCGCGCTACGCCTCCATCCTGATGGGCATTAGCAACGGCTTCGGCACTCTGAGTGGCATGATCTGCCCCATCGTGGTCGAGGAGTTCACCAAGCACTCGGTGAGTACTTCCACTCATGTTTTATTCATCACCTTTCTCACATTCAGAGAGAATCACCCCCCCTCCCCAATTACCCTCTCCCCCCCCTCACACACACACACAAAATTTGATTAAATTGTACCTCCCAAATTGGAAACAGTGACCTATGGTGACAGAAGAGTGCCCAAAGTGGAGGCAGATCAACAGTGGTGTCCCACAGGGGTCAGTAATACGCCTGGTATGCGTAAATGACCTCAACGAGGTCATTTATATTTACGCCTAAGTTGATGCACTCGTATCAGTGTTAGTGGGTGATACAACATAATAAAGAGAGCAATGACACACATGACTTGTAAAGAGATGCAGGCTGACTTGAATAACCTTCAGGTATCTTCGGAGGCATGGCTACTAGATATCAACCCAGATAAATGTAAGGTAATGAAAATATGTAGGAAGCACAGGGGGAACCATTGAAAAAATGTGAAATGAACAGATGACTCTCTCTTACACAGCTAAATTTAGAGAACAATCTGGAAGATGATCCAACTGCTAACTAGGAATAGTGACTTGTGTGAGTAGAATAACATCTCAACATGTGGGAAGCTGTCTAACACAGGTGTAACATTTAACAACCTGCGGACGGAGAGCTTCACAGTCCTTTTCACTACATTTATTAAAACTGTTCTTGAGTGCGCCGCCCCAGCGTGACACCTTCACCTAAGGAACACGAAACCAATCTATAAAAGTTCCACTGGTATACAACGTGGCCCGTACCGGAACTGTGAGGGTTGAACTAACAGGAAAGGCTAAGGGAGACGAATCTCAATTCGAAGATATTTGGGTCACTGTGCTCCTGTATCCAACATACGTAAGACGAGTGCTAGATTATGCAGTCCCATTGTGGAGATCCAACCTGGAAAAGCAATTGAGGAAACTCCGATAAGGTAGAGTGGTTTGCATCGAAGCTGGTCTTAGAATGACAAGTGATGGGATACGAGGAACGACTAAGACATCTCCACCTGACGTCGCTAGAACAGAGATCAAAAGTTGACACGATAGAACTATAAACAGAGGAGAGATTGACAGCGCGGCGAATGAGGAAATATCCATAACGAATACATAATGAGAACCTGGGAACATGCATGGAAACTTGAGAAACAGGCGAGTCTAAACACACCAGACATTATACTTTTACCGTAAGAGTTGTATAAAGAATTATTGAACTAATAAACTCATCAAATACTCGTTAAATTTCATCACTTAACATGAAGGTGGATGGAGGGAGGAAGACTCATGTTGTGAAAGTTAAGTGTTTAGCGACATGACAGCCTCAGTAAAGACAGAGTTGTCAGACTCCATTACCACCTTTATCCACGAGACTATTACGTTGGGCGAGCGAGCAAGCGACTGTTTTCTAAAAGACGTTCCGGACCAACCGGGCTGTGGTGGGTATGTGGGCCTGCGGGCCGCGCCAAGCAACAGCCTGGTGGACCAAACTCTCACAAGTCAAGCCTGGCCTCGGGCCGGGCTTGGGGAGTAGAAGAGCTCCCAGAACCCCATCAACCAGGTATTTGTGAGGGAAACCAAGAGTCGGAGCTCGTGGAGAGATGCTAGAGAAGAGCTACCAGTACCAGGGCGAGGGAGGGAACACCCCCACACTCTCACCAGGAGGAACTGGAGCCAACTGCCTGTGTCAGCAGTGAGAATGGTTGTCTGGCTGCATGAGTGACTCCACACTATGACTACAATGTTATAAGAATGACTACATTCATGAGTGAATGAGTGTGAGAGGTCATCACGCCCGCGGCACCCATCACGCCCGCGGCACCCATCACGCCCGCGGCATCCATCACGCCTCCAAAAAGATAGATTTATTTTCCTTTTATGACCGATGATCTGTGACTTGAAGATTAAGAGCAAAAATTTACTTTCACCAAATATTAATCACATTCATGTTTCCGCTAAATTTATTTATTGTAAAGTGATGATATGCATTTATACAAGGTAACATATTTTGCTGATGATAATAATAATTAGATATGTCTATTAATACACAGATGTTTTAATTAATACTTGAGTTTAGTGTGAGCATAGTGTTAATAGTTTAACCATACTACCTAATACACAGGACTATACAGAGCTGTTGGGTTATACACCATACACAGCTGTTGGGCTATACATAATACAGAGGTGTTGGGCTATACATAATACAGAGGTGTTGGGCTATACACAATACAGAGGTGTTGGGCTATACATAATACAGAGGTGTTGGGCTATACACAATACAGAGGTGTTGGGCTATACATAATACAGAGGTGTTGGGCTATACATAATACAGAGGTGTTGGGTTATACATAATACAGAGGTGTTGGGCTATACACAATACAGAGGTGTTGGGCTATACATAATACAGAGGTGTTGGGCTATACATAATACAGAGGTGTTGGGCTATACATAATACAGAGGTGTTGGGCTATACACAATACACAGCTGTTGGGCTATACACAATACAGAGGTGTTGGGCTATACATAATACAGAGGTGTTGGGCTATACATAATACAGAGGTGTTGGGCTATACACAATACAGAGGTGTTGGGCTATACATAATACAGAGGTGTTGGGCTATACACAATACAGAGGTGTTGGGCTATACACCATACACAGCTGTTGGGCTATACACAATACAGAGGTGTTGGGCTATACATAATACAGAGGTGTTGGGCTATACACAATACAGAGGTGTTGGGCTATACATAATACAGAGGTGTTGGGTTATACATAATACAGAGGTGTTGGGCTATACACAATACAGAGGTGTTGGGCTATACATAATACAGAGGTGTTGGGCTATACATAATACAGAGGTGTTGGGTTATACATAATACAGAGGTGTTGGGCTATACACAATACAGAGGTGTTGGGCTATACATAATACAGAGGTGTTGGGTTATACATAATACAGAGGTGTTGGGCTATACACAATACACAGCTGTTGGGCTATACACAATACAGAGGTGTTGGTCTATACACTTTTTTCTTATCATATATACATTTGAAGTTAAATATGGAATTGGCTTGGCTAACTTCTTCATCTACTCCACTTATTTACGACTCTGAGGCTGAAACAGTTCTTTCCGACATCTGTGTTTCCAGTTATGTCCTCTCCGTCTACTGTTCCTTAATTTGAACATTGCTTTTATGTCTAGTTTATCAAACACCCATCTTATACGTCGTTATCATGTCTCCTCTAAACCCCCCCCCCCCTCTTTCCGTTAAGGGAGTGAGATCAAGTTTCCCCCCAGTATTTCTTCGCGTGTGTGTGTGTGTGTGTGTGTGTGTGTGTGTGTGTGTGTGTGTGTGTGTGGGGTACGTACACACACACACACACACACACACACACACACACACACACACACACACACACACACACACACACACACACACACACACACACACACACACACACACACACACACACACACACACACACACACACACACACACACACACACACACACACACACACACACACACACACACACACACACACACACACACACACACACCCACACACACACCCTCGCACCCACAAACAATACAAAATCCCCACTGATCTGACCACTGGCCGCCCCTGCACGCCTCAACGCTGCACCACATAATGTAACGCCCTTGTAACGCGCCATTTTTACGGGTCCAGTTATAGTGACCCGTGGTGCCATCTAGCGCCCGTCCACCACATTCCTTCGTCTCCATGGAAACCACATTTTGTTTATATCGTTAGATACATCGATTTGGCGCCTTCTGAGAGTACTTTTGTCCACAGGGAACTGTCTTCCGTCCAGTCACAGAACCCCCCCCCCTCACCCCGACCCTCAGAGGGACCTATCCCACCCACGGAACAGATAGCTGCCATTATCACTACTAAGCGTTTAATTAGCGGAAGAGGAACATCAGGTCCTGACCTTTGACCTGTCCATTGGCACTCTTCACCTAGCGCCATGAATGAAACAAATAAATGGCCAGAATGATTGTAAAGGACTATTTAAATGGCCAGAATGATTGTAAAGGACTATTTAAATGGCCAGAATGATTGTAAAGGACTATTTAAATGGCCAGAATTATTGTAAAGGACTATTTAAATGGCCAGAATCTATAATGGAAGAGTATTTGATTTGCCAATACAAATATTTGATAGTATGAATATTTTGTTTTATTTTCGATAAGATTGAAAATCAAATAAATAGTGACAGATATCTAAATGATAGCAATAGCAGAAAGTTTCAATGACAAATCAGTTACTAGAATCTGGTGTGGTTGTCATGGTAACGGACTGGTGCTTGAGGCGTATAGTCACAGTCGGGTGGAACTTTTCCAATTTCCACCCGTAATTGTTGAGTTTTTATGGGGGAAGCTTCTTTAGTATAGCACGCGCGCGCGCACACGTGCACACTGGGGCCTGGTGGCTGAGTAGACAGCGCTTGGGATTCGTTATCCTAGGGTAAAGATTCTTTCACCCTGATACCCCTGTTTACCTAGCAATAAATAGGTACCAGGGAGTAAGACAGCTGCTACGGGCTGCTTGCTGAGGACGCGAGTGTGTGTGTGGGGGGGTAGAGAGAAATAAATATGAAGTAGACATAATAGAGGAAAAATATATTGGTTAAAAAGGTCGGGGTCCAAGAGCTAGGTTGTGCAGGCACAAATAGTAAATACAAATAGTTAATACACAGACGGAAGCTCCAGCCTGCCTGTGGAGGTCGTTTGTATAAGGAAGTAGTAGTGAGTGGGACCCGCTGCCCGCGGAGTGTGATATCAACACAGTGTGGTGACGGGTAGAGGGAAGGGGGTCTGGAGGAGGTCCTGGAGGCGGAGGTGTGGCAGGAGGGGGCACCGAGCCCCCCCACGCGGGGCTATGGGGAGGTGCCGACGACTATAAGCCCCTCGGGGATATATCTAATTCCACAGATTCACGGATACCCAGCACCGAATTTGTTAAAGTAGAAAATGACACAGTTCCCCTGGGAGGATGGCTTCTGCGTGTCGCCCCACTTCCCTCTTCCCCCCTACCTCCCCTTTCCTCACCTCCCCCTCCTTCCCTCACCTCCCCCTCCTTCCCTCACCTCCCCCTCCCCTTCACCTCCCCCTCAAACCAGAGCCTTAGCTTCCTCCTTCCACTTGCCCGTGACTTCGGGTTAAATAGCGCGGATTTCGAAGTATTTCATTTGCTTTTATCCCCATGTTTTCACGGATTATTTTTGCTGCAGCAGCTCTTTGACAAATCTATTCCCCTTCCTCCTTGGTTGATAATATTAGGTGATTGGAGTATGGTTGGATCCTCTTGACCAATCGGATTGCAATGGATATGTGGGCCAGCGCCAAGCCTTTTAGATCAGTTTACCACAAGACATGGCTGGCCCAGGCCGGGCTTCGGGAGCAGAACTCTCAGAACCCACTATACGTATACTCCAGGGGCCAGATTCACGAAGCAGTTACGCAAACACTTACGAACCTGTACATCTTTTTTTTCAGTCTCTGGCGGCTTTGTTTACAATTATTAAACAGTTAATGAGCTCGGAAGCACCAGGAGGCTGTTTATAACAATAATAACAGTTGATTGGCAAGTTTTCATGCTTGTAAAATGTTTAATAAATGTAACCAAAGCCGTCAAAGGTTGAGGAAAGATGCACATTCTCGTAAGTACTTGCGTAACTGATTCCTGAATCTGGCCCCAGGTAGTCCGGGGTAGCAGACAATGTGGGGTCCCTGCAAATATTCTTTGGGGGTCTTAGAATCACTGTAAGTGCTGGTGGGGGTCCAGGAACCACTGTAAGTGCTGGTGGGGGTCCAGGAACCACTGTAAATACTGGTGGGGGTCCAGGAACCACTGTAAGTGCTGGTGGGGGTCCAGGAACCACTGTAAATACTGGTGGGGGTCCAGGAACCACTGTAAGTACTGGTGGGGATCCAGGAACCACTGTGAGTGCTGGTGGTGATCCAGGAACCACTGTGAGTGCTGGTGGGGGTCAAGGAACCACTGTAAGTGCTGGTGGGGATCCAGGAACCACTGTGAGTGCTGGTGGTGATCCAGGAACCACTGTGAGTGCTGGTGGGGGTCAAGGAACCACTGTAAGTGCTGGTGGGGGTCCAGGAACCACTGTAAGTACTGGTGGGGATCCAGGAACCACTGTGAGTGCTGGTGGGGGTCAAGGAACCACTGAATGTTGCGGCTCATTAAGTGAATCTTTCGCAACGATGAAGAGGCTTCGTAAGCAGGAGGGGGGGGGGGAGACGGGTGTCAACCCTAACAGCCATATTTATTGCAATGTTCCTCCCCTTCCCGTTAGGGATCGTCCTTAACTGTCCCATCCCCTCCCATCCCATCCCCTCCCCTCCATCCCCACACCCGTGGCGACGAGGCGACCAGATGGGATGAGAGAGTTAACTATTAGAACGGAGGAGATGGTGGGATGGAAGGGCAGGCAGGGTGGGATGGAAGGGAGAGAGAGAGAGAGAGAGAGAGAGAGAGAGAGAGAGAGAGAGAGAGAGAGAGAGAGAGAGAGAGAGGGAAGACCTGTTGCTCCTGTCCATCCTAATGGCAGACTGTAGACGTCCCATTTTTTTAAGACGTAAAAAAATGGGGTGTTGGAATGGGGGGCAGAGGAGCGTTGGAATGTAAGGAAAGGCCTTGTGAATGGAGGGAGAAACCAGTCTTGGAAGAGTCAATGGGCTGGGGGAGAAAAACGGCTGATATGGGGGAGAAAGAGGGATGGGGTGGGGGAGGAAAAGGGCATGAAAGACGATGGGATTACTATCGGGTGTAGATGGAGGAGGTGGATAATTAGAAGAGGATAGTGAGGATTATCGTGAGATTAGGAAGGGAGATAGTGAAGACGGAGATAAGACTTAGGAGGATGGTGCGAGGGAGAGATGTTAATAGTGAATGGTGAGGAGATAGAGCAGGGGAGATGTGCGTGTTTATAACACATTATAGAAATGTGCTGTCAACACCTTTCCGCCCCTCTCCAGCCCTACCTCTCCGCCCCTCCCCAGCCCCACCTCTCCGCCCCTCCCCAGCCCTACCTCCCCCCCCCCTCCCCAGCCCCACCTCCCCCCAGCTTCCCCAGCCCCACCTCCCCCCACCTCCCCCCAGCTTCCCCAGTAGGCACCATTGAGAGTGCAAGATGAAAGGGGAGTTGGTGGCGCCTCTAGGGGAATGAAGGCTTGGTGTTCCGTTCGGGCTGAGCCCTCGCCACCTCCCCACCCCCACCACCATTGATTTGACTCGCCCCCCTCTCCCCCCTCCCCCTCCCCCACTGATTCTGATACTTGGTGTGCTGGCCGGACTGTGGTGATGCGTCTTCAACATCCGGCTGGGTATGTTGAAGCCGGATCATGAGGAACCTTTTCTTACGTTTTTAATGTTTATCTCATGTTTCCCCTCCTTATATTCTCTCTCATGTTCCTCTTCATGTTCTCCCTCATGTTACCACTCATGTTCCCCCTCATGTTCTTCATGTTCCTCTCATGTTCCCCCCTCATGTTCTCTCTCATGTTCCCCCTCATGTTCCCCATTTTCTTCCCTCATGTTCCTCCTCATATCCCCCCCTCATATCCCCTCCTCGTGTCCGTCCTCCCCATGCCCCCCCCACTCCCCTCCCCCCCTCGACACACAGTATACAGGGCTGGTGCTCGCAGGTGTAAGTCAGAGGGCTCACCAGGCCGCCCGCAGGTGTAAGTCAGAGGGCTCACCAGGCCACTCGCCTTTCCTCGCCAGATTGGCTCTTCCTCTCGCAAAGAACCGATAAAATTGACTTCCTTTTCACGTCGTAATGGGAGAAAATTGTCTCCTCTTCTCTCATTTATGTTGGAGCGAGACTGTGGTCCACACCCTCTTCCTTAACCATGGCTTCCAGGAGGGCCCAATGTTGTCTCCTGTTGCACGCTATTGTTGTGTGTGTGTGTGTGTGTGTGTGTGTGTGTGTGTGTGTGTGTGTGTGTGTGTGTGTGTGTGTGTGTGTGTGTGTGTGTGTGTGTGTTTACTCACCTAGTTGGGCTTGCGGAAAGTGATTTGAAAATGACGTGTATGCAGTCAACCTCCACTACATCACTTCCTAGTGCATTCCATTTACTAACTACTCTGACACTGAAAAAGTTCTTTCTAACGTCCCTGTGGCTTATTTGGGTACTCAGCTTCCAATTGTGTCCCCTTGTGGGTGTACCACCCGTGTTATATAAAACATCCTTGTCTACCCTGTCAATTCCCCTGGGAATTGTGCGTGTTGTGATTGTCTCCTCTAGCTCTTCTGTCTCCCAGCGACATGAGGTGCACCAGTTTACTCTGGGGTGGGGACAGATGCAAAAGATACAAGAAAACATGACTGACAATTCGCTTAATTAAGGGTAATTACAAAATAAATGTTGCTGACCACTGATACAATATAAAAAAGGGAAATGGCTTAACACTTTATAAACATGTATTACCGAACATAAAGCAACAAACTCAAAAACAATTCACACTAACTTCACGCCAAACCACGCAACACTACAGGTGTGTGAGACACTACAGGTGTGTGTGTCAAAACACCCACTACTACACTTATGGTAAAAGGAGAAACGCTTGGAATGACTCTGTGCACATGCGGCTCAGGCTTGGGTACAAATATTACTGGCAATATGGTACAGTTGTTAATGATAATGACACCAAGTGTAAACTATGTGTTATGTTAAGGTCTCACACCCTCACCCATTATGTTCTTTACTGTCCGTTGATTAATGTATATAGAAACACTTAGATAAGAACTGTTCCTGAACAAATAGCCTGGTTGAGTCACAACGGAAAGGTTGATGAGATTCTGGAGAGATATAAGAATTTTCCACCAAGATTATAACCTTTTGTTAAATTGTCTGAATGTCTATTGTAAATTGTCTATGTATCAGCTCATAAAAGTATTTGTGTGTACGTCTGGTAACATAGTACTTGTGTAAAGGAAGAAATGTATATGTTTATCTCTAAGAATGTTCGGTAATATGTTTATTGTTTGTGATGTGTGTCTATGTATGTATGAACACGTTGTACTGAACAGGGTGAGCAAAGCTTAAGCTACCTCATCCCTTTGTGTGTATTTATGCCTCAATAAACTTATATCAATTTCAATTGTGGGAAAGGGAAACACAGAGCAAAGGGGAGGAACTTTTCCCCGCTCCGGTTGCTCGCACAAGACAGCACATATATGACTTATTGCTTATAGTCACTATTTCGCTTATAAATAAGTATATATGTGACATATTCCAAGCCGTATGTTTTTCATGGCACTAACTTTTTATCTCAATTTTATTAAACAATAGAGATTTTATACAAAATTTGACAATATCCTGAGTTACTTTACAATTTATTTAAATATTTTAGTTTTGTTTTATTTTTATAAAACTGTAATATCAATATAGGTATAGGTTAAGTACTAACTGTAATATCTTAACATACTAAGAAGGTTAGGTTAGGCTGTGGTTTTCTATTCAGCTTTTCACGGTAAACTCAAATATTCACAATAAAATAGTATGTCACATATGCACTTATTCATAAGCAAGATATTGACTATAAGCAAGTACGAGAACGGGTTGCCTTCTAAATAATCCACAAGATCCGACGAATTTTCCTGCGCATGTCAACCAACTAAATCAAAGCCTCTATCTAACAATTATTTTTAAGACATTATCTCCCATTTGCTTACTAATTGATCTCTTCAATTACTTCCTTCCCTTAAGCCCCTCCTTCTCCCTTTCCTTCACCGGTACTTACCCTTCCATCCCCCTCCCGTCCCGTCCCTCCCTCACTGGTAACCATCTGAGCGTCACTAAGAACCTTGCTCTCTCCACTTGTGGCGGCGCAGACGGAGGAGGAGTGGCAGGTGGTGTTCCTCATCGCCTCCATCATTCACTTCCTGGGCATCATCTTCTATGGCATCTTCGCCTCGGGGGAGCTCCAGCCCTGGGCAGAACCGCCTCCGGAGGAGCAGCTGCCGGAGGACCAGCAACAGCAGTACGTCAAGGTCAGTATGGGGAGGGTGGTGTAGGGAGGGCGGGTTTGGGGGGTTAGGGGAGTAAAGATGTTTGGTGGGGGTGGGGAGGCAGGGGAGGCTTGGGGGGTAAGAGGGGGAGGCTTGGGGGAGTGTCAGAAAAGGGGAGGTTTAGGGGGATATGGGAGGAGGGAAGCCGTGGGGAGATGGGGGGGCAGAAGAGGGAGGAGGGCTTGGGGGGGGGGGGAAGGTTGGGGGAAAGGGAGGAGGGCTTGGGGGGGAGGTTGGGGGGGGAGGTTGGGGGAAAGGGAGGGCTGAGGGGGATGAGGAAGAAGGGATGGCTTAGGGGAATGGGGGAAGGGCTCAGAGGGGTAGGGGATATTGGAGGGTTTAGGGGGGGAGGGGGGAGAATGGAGGTTCTTGGGGGTGTGGGAGAAAGGAGGGCATGGGGGATTAGGGAGGGCTTGGGGGGGTGGGGGAGAAGGGAGATCCTGGGGAGGGAGTGGGGGAGGGGAGAGCCCTAGGTGGGCACCTTGGGTACTAGGGGTTGGGACAAGTAGGACATCTATTGGGTGGAGGGTGAGGGTGGTGCTTGTCTCACTGTGTCGAACTGCTTGTGTAGGGTTCTCCCACTCCCCTCTGGGATTGTAGGGCTCGGGGTTGTGAATCCCTGATTCCTTTCTTTTTCCCTGAGCTCCCTTCTTGCAGCTGCTGCCCTCATTCTCTCGTCAGTTGTCATATTCCTTGGCATGAATACTTTTTTTTTTGAACTTCGATACAATTGCTAGTCCTCTCTTCCTTGCTAACAATTCCTCTTTTGTTCTCTCGCTCGTGAATACCACCTTTATCAATCGGTCTCTGTCCTTGTTGTACTGTCCGAGCCTGAAAACCTTTTCAATATTCTGGTCAGCCTTCTCCATCTTTACCCCTTTAAGGATCTCATTAACTTCATTTTTGTCCTTGTCTCTCCTCCACACTGGACTAGTCCCTGTTTGCTCCTCAAGGCCTACTATTAATACAGGTCTTTTCGCTCTATCAGCTGGCTAGTGCATCCAGCTGCTTTCTGAGAAGAAGCCACTGCCTTAGTAACTTCCCTAACTGCAGACCTAGCTTCAGTGTGTGTGTGTGTGTGTGTGTGTGTGTGTGTGTGTGTGTGTGTGTGTGTGTGTCGGTCATCACTTTGGACTCTCTTCACTTAATATATTTACAATTTACAGGTTGTTTACAGTCATGCATACATCACCCAGATGTATTCAGTCATGTATAGGTCCCATCAAATATCATATATAAAAAATCCAACCTCCTAAAAAATAGCATATTAACACTTTCAACATTTAATATAAAAAAAGCATACTCACTCCTCCAAATAATGTTAGGCAGCAGTATAGAGTAATATACACTGACGTGCGCTATGCCTCCGCAGGAGACGACGCCGGCCATGGCCACTCCTGGCCAAGCCAACGGGAAGCTGGCCACCTACGGTACCATGGCGGGTGACGGTACTGCACCGGAGGGCCAAGGGTACACCCAGGAGGGCTACACCCAGGAGACCTACACTCAACAGCAGCCACAGCTAGATTACGCTGTGGCACATCCGCCTAAGGTATTTACCCTAAACGCTGCGCGTACTAGTGGCTTTACAAGATTGTAATTACTATGCTGTGTATCCTCACAATCCCAATGTACCTTCTTGTATGTATATAAATAAATAAATAAATAAATAAATTTGGAACAACAGCCACAGGGACACTATTGGGACTCTTGTCCATCAACAAAATAACAAACTTGTAATATTTAAATATTCCATTGGTCTAAGATGCAGTCTTTATCAAGAGATATATTATACTATCATAACAAATTCCTCACATTCAATTCATAATATTTTTTGTTATGAATTTTCCTCGGCATTGAATGTCAATTTAATTTCATATTTTTAGTCATTAACTCGAATTGAACCTCAAGTCGACTACCTTGAGGTAGTGAAGGGTTTTGTGTGTTGGGTCTTGACACGTGACTGTTTTGCAGGTGGGGAGTACAGAATATGCCAGCCACAACAACCCCTTTGCTCCAGCGGTGGCACCTTCCACCAACCCGTTCAGTGGGAGCTTGGAACACCACCAGCAGCAACCAACCCAGTTCAATTATCCTCCAAGCCAGTACTAGGTCAACACTATTTGTGTACCGTTCCAGTACTAGGTCAACACTATTTGTGTACCGTTCCAGTACTAGGTCAACACTATTTGTGTACCGTTCCAGTACTAGGTCAACACTATTTGTGTACCGTGCCAGTACTATGTCAACACTCCCTGTGTACCGTGCCAGTACCAGGTCAACACTCCCTGTGTACCGTGCCAGTACCAGGTCAACACTCCCTGTGTACCGTGCCAGTACTATGTCAACACTCCCTGTGTACCGTGCCAGTACCAGGTCAACACTCCCTGTGTACCGGCCAGTACTAGGTCAACACTCCCTGTGTACCGTGCCAGTACCAGGTCAACACTCCCCGTGTACCGGCCAGTACTAGGTCAACACTACCTGTGTACCGGCCAGTACTAGGTCAACACTCCCTGTGTACCGGCCAGTACTAGGTCAACACTACCTGTGTACTGGCCAGTACTAGGTCAACACTCCCCGTGTACCGGCCAGTACTAGGTCAACACTCCCTGTGTACCGGCCAGTACTAGGTCAACACTACCTGTGTACCGGCCAGTACTAGGTCAACACTACCTGTGTACCGTGCCAGTACTAGGTCAACACTCCCTGTGTACTGGCCAGTACTAGGTCAACACTCCCTGTGTACCGGCCAGTACCAGGTCAACACTCCCTGTGTACCGTGCCAGTACTAGGTCAACACTCCCTGTGTACCGGCCAGTACCAGGTCAACACTCCCTGTGTACCGGCCAGTACTAGGTCAACACTACCTGTGTACCGTGCCAGTACCAGGTCAACACTCCCTGTGTACCGGCCAGTACTAGGTCAACACTCCCTGTGTACTGGCCAGTACTAGGTCAACACTCCCTGTGTACCGTGCCAGTACTAGGTCAACACTCCCTGTGTACCGGCCAGTACTAGGTCAACACTGTGTACCGTGCCAGTACTAGGTCAACACTCCCTGTGTACCGGCCAGTACTAGGTCAACACTCCCTGTGTACCGGCCAGTACTAGGTCAACACTCCCTGTGTACCGGCCAGTACCAGGTCAACACTCCCTGTGTACCGGCCAGTACTAGGTCAACACTCCCTGTGTACCGGCCAGTACTAGGTCAACACTCCCTGTGTACCGGCCAGTACCAGGTCAACACTCCCTGTGTACCGGCCAGTACTAGGTCAACACTCCCTGTGTACCGGCCAGTACTAGGTCAACACTCCCTGTGTACCGGCCAGTACTAGGTCAACACTCCCTGTGTACCGGCCAGTACTAGGTCAACACTCCCTGTGTACCGGCCAGTACTAGGTCAACACTCCCTGTGTACCGGCCAGTACTAGGTCAACACTCCCTGTGTACCGTGCCAGTACTAGGTCAACACTCCCTGTGTACCGGCCAGTACTAGGTCAACACTGTGTACCGTGCCAGTACTAGGTCAACACTACCGAAGTCATCGCCTAAAACCTGTCAAAATCATATCATGATCACCTGCTGGGATACTGCTAGGACAGTAGTCATTTGCTAGGATACTGCTAGGACTGTGGTCACCTGCTGGGATACTGCTAGGACTGTGGTCACCTGCTGGGATACTGCTAGGACTGTGGTCACCTGCTGGGATACTGCTAGGACTGTGGTCACCTGCTGGGATACTGCTAGGACTGTGGTCACCTGCTGGGATACTGCTAGGACTGTGGTCACCTGCTGGGATACTGCTAGGACAGTAGTCACCTGCTAGGACACTCCTAGGACAGTAGTCACCTGCTAGGACATCCTACAATTATATGACAATTAACCTAAAAAAAAAAGCCTTTTGACAACTGACACCTAAAAAAGCCTTTAGAGATGTCACTCTTCATCATCCGTTCTAGACTTTTGTCATTAATACATTATACAGACATTATACAGTCATTATACAGTCATTAATAAATTAGTCATGGGCGGTCAAAAAGAGGTTCCTGGCGCATGCGCACGCGGCCAAATGTGAGGTCAAGGGTCATATGATTTGACCGGTTTGACATCCCATTAGTGAAAGACTTTGGAAGTCATATATATAATTCTGATTGGCAAAAACACCTGAATTTTCAAATCCTGGCAAAAGGCATATGTTTCTGATCCCACAACAGCTGCTGCTTGGTCGAAATTACGTAAATTTATTTTATAAGCAATTTACATACCGTTAAAAAAATACATTGTGTTCCAGAACACTGCAGACTGTCCCTGAACACTGCAGACTGTCCCGGAACACTACAGACTGTCCCGGAAGACTGCAGACTGTCCCGGAACACTACAGACTGTCCTGGAAGACTGCAGACTGTCCCGGAACACTGCAGACTGTCCCGGAACACTACAGACTGTCCTGGAAGACTGCAGACTGTCCCGGAACACTACAGACTGTCCTGGAAGACTGCAGACTGTCCCGGAACACTGCAGACTGTCCCGGAACACTACAGACTGTCCCGGAAGACTGCAGACTGTCCCGGAACACTACAGACTGTCCCGGAACACTACAGACTGTCCCGGAACACTGCAGACTGTCCCGGAACACTACAGACTGTCCTGGAAGACTGCAGACTGTCCCGGAACACTACAGACTGTCCTGGAACACTGCAGACTGTCCAGGAACACTACAGACTGTCCCGGAACACTACAGACTGTCCTGGAAGACTGCAGACTGTCCCGGAACACTGCAGACTGTCCCGGAACACTACAGACTGTCCCGGAACACTACAGACTGTCCCGGAACACTACAGACTGTCCCGGAACACTACAGACTGTCCCGGAACACTACAGACTGTCCAGGAACACTGCAGACTGTCCAGGAACACTACAGACTGTCCCGGAACACTACAGACTGTCCAGGAACACTACAGACTGTCCAGGAACACTACAGACTGTCCCGGAACACTACAGACTGTCCAGGAACACTACAGACTGTCTCGGAACACTACAGACTGTCCCAGAACACTGCAGACTGTTCCGGAACACTGCAGACTGTCCCGGAACACTGCAGACTGTTCCGGAACACTGCAGACTGTCCCGGAACACTACAGACTGTCCAGGAACACTACAGACTGTCCCGGAACACTACAGACTGTCCAGGAACACTACAGACTGTCCTGGAACACTACAGACTGTCCAGGAACACTACAGACTGTCCCGGAACACTACAGACTGTCCAGGAACACTACAGACTGTCCCGGAACACTACAGACTGTCCCAGAACACTACAGACTGTCCCGGAACACTACAGACTGTCCAGGAACACTACAGACTGTCCAGGAACACAACAGACTGTCCAGGAACACTGCAGACTGTCCAGGAACACTACAGACTGTCCAGGAACACTACAGACTGTCCAGGAACACTACAGACTGTCCAGGAACACTACAGACTGTCCAGGAACACTACAGACTGTCCAGGAACACTACAGACTGTCCAGGAACACTACAGACTGTCCAGGAACACTGCAGACTGTCCCGGAACACTGCAGACTGTCCCGGAACACTGCAGACTGTCCCGGAACACTACAGACTGTCCAGGAACACTACAGACTGTCCCGGAACACTACAGACTGTCCAGGAACACTACAGACTGTCCCGGAACACTACAGACTGTCCCGGAACACTACAGACTGTCCCGGAACACTACAGACTGTCCCGGAACACTACAGACTGTCCCGGAACACTGCAGACTGTCCCGGAACACTGCAGACTGTCCCGGAACACTACAGACTGTCCCGGAACACTACAGACTGTCCCGGAACACTACAGACTGTCCCGGAACACTACAGACTGTCCCGGAACACTGCAGACTGTCCCGGAACACTACAGACTGTCCCGGAACACTGCAGACTGTCCCGGAACACTGCAGACTGTTCCGGAACACTGCAGACTGTCCCGGAACACTGCAGACTGTCCCGGAACACTGCAGACTGTCCCGGAACACTACAGACTGTCCAGGAACACTACAGACTGTCCCGGAACACTACAGACTGTCCAGGAACACTACAGACTGTCCCGGAACACTACAGACTGTCCAGGAACACTACAGACTGTCCCGGAACACTACAGACTGTCCCGGAACACCTCTTCTACAAAAGCTTCAGCCTGCTACAAGTTTGGTCCATGCAACTGATCTCAAACACCAACAATCTTTTCTAGATCAACTTTTATGCAACATCTGTATATTGTAGTTATCACCCACACGCTCTTCTGGAACATCTGTATGTTGTAGTCAGCACCCACATGCTCTTCTGGAACATCTGTATGTTGTAGTTAGCACCCACACGCTCTTCTGGAACATCTGTATGTTGTAGTCAGCACCCACATGCTCTTCTGGAACATCTGTATGTTGTAGTTAGCACCCACACGCTCTTCTGGAACATCTGTATATTGTAGTTATCACCCACACGCTGTTCTAGAACAAATACAGTTTGTTTTAAAAAACCTACAGTTGTATGACAAACACAAGTTTTCCTGGAACAAATACACACCTTACTAGAACAAATTCAGGCTTTTCTAGGACAAATTCAGGCTTTTCTAGGACAAATTCAGGCTTTTCTAGGACAAATTCAGGCTTTTCTAGGACAAATTCGGGCTTTTCTAGGACAAATTCGGGCTTTTCTAGGACAAATTAAGGCTTTTCTAGGAAAAATTCAGGTTTTTCCAGAACAAATGCAGGCTGTCTCTTTATTTTCAGATGTGTGGTATAGATATCAGATACATGCCATTCTAGAATGTATACAGGATGGCTTAGAACAAATATAAACTGTTCTACCATGCCTACAATAGATTCTGGAATATCTATATCCTGTTCTCAAATAATTTAATAATTTAGAACCCTTACATCCTATTCTTTAAGATCAGTCATCTGTTAAAGAACACCCCGTTGAAGATCCATAACACCAAAATCCTGTTTCAGAACACCGGCATTCTCCTCCTGAACACTTTCATTTTGCTATACAACATTGGGCTGTTTTTGAACCCCCCCCCTACACCCTGAACCCCCTCCCTCTACACCCTGAACCCCATCCCCCTACACCCTGAACCCCCTCCCTCTACACCCTGAACCCCCTCCCTCTACACCCTGAACCCCCTCCCTCTACACCCTGAACCCCATCCCCCTACACCCTGAACCCCCTCCCTCTACACCCTGAACCCCCTCCCTCTACACCCTGAACCCCCTCCCTCTACACCCTGAACCCCCCCTCTACACCCTGAACCCCCTCCCTCTACCCCCTGAACCCCATCCCTCTACACCCTGAACCCCATCCTTCTACACCCTGAACCCCTCCCTCTACACCCTGAACCCCATCCTTCTACACCCTGAACCCCATCCCTCTACACCCTGAACCCCCTCCCTCTACACCCTGAACCCCTCCCTCTACACCCTGAACCCCCCCTCTACACCCTGAACCCCCTCCCTCTACACCCTGAACCCCCTCCCTCTACACCCTGAACCCCCCCTCTACACCCTGAACCCCATCCCTCTACACCCTGAACCCCCTCCCTCTACACCCTGAACCCCCCCTCTACACCCTGAACCCCATCCCTCTACACCCTGAACCCCATCCCTCTACACCCTGAACCCCCTCCCTCTACACCCTGAACCCCATCCCTCTACACCCTGAACCCCCCCTCTACACCCTGAACCCCATCCCTCTACACCCTGAACCCCCTCCCTCTACACCCTGAACCCCCCCTCTACACCCTGAACCCCCTCCCTCTACCCCCTGAACCCCATCCCTCTACACCCTGAACCCCATCCTTCTACACCCTGAACCCCCTCCCTCTACACCCTGAACCCCATCCTTCTACACCCTGAACCCCATCCCTCTACACCCTGAACCCCATCCCTCTACACCCTGAACCCCATCCCCCTACACCCTGAACCCCATCCCTCTACACCCTGAACCCCCTCCCTCTACACCCTGAACCCCCTCCCTCTACACCCTGAACCCCCTCCCTCTACACCCTGAACCCCCTCCCTCTACACCCTGAACCCCCTCCCTCTACACCCTGAACCCCCCCTCTACACCCTGAACCCCCTCCCTCTACACCCTGAACCCCCTCCCTCTACACCCTGAACCCCCCCTCTACACCCTGAACCCCATCCCTCTACACCCTGAACCCCCTCCCTCTACACCCTGAACCCCCCCTCTACACCCTGAACCCCATCCCTCTACACCCTGAACCCCTCCCTCTACACCCTGAACCCCCTCCCTCTACACCCTGAACCCCCTCCCTCTACACCCTGAACCCCCTCCCTCTACACCCTGAACCCCCTCCCTCTACACCCTGAACCCCCCTCTACACCCTGAACCCCCTCCCTCTACACCCTGAACCCCCTCCCTCTACACCCTGAACCCCCTCCCTCTACACCCTGAACCCCATCCCTCTACACCCTGAACCCCCTCCCTCTACACCCTGAACCCCCTCCCTCTACACCCTGAACCCTCCTCTACACCCTGAACCCCATCCCTCTACTCCCTGAACCCCCCCTCTACACCCTGACCTCTACACCCTCTACACTGACACCCTGTTCTGTAGCAGGTATCCTGTTTAATAACCAATACTTTCTGTTCTAGACCATGTAGATTGTTCTAGACCGTGTAGATTGTTCTAGACCATGTAGATTGTTCTAGACCGTGTAGATTGTTCTAGACCATGTAGATTGTTCTAGACCATGTAGATTGTTCTAGACCGTGTAGATTGTTCTAGACCATGTAGATTGTTCTAGACCATGTAGATTGTTCTAGACCATGTAGATTGTTCTAGACCATGTAGATTGTTCTAGACCATGTAGATTGTTCTAGACCATGTAGATTGTTCTAGACCATGTAGATTGTTCTAGACCATGTAGATTGTTCTAGACCATGTAGATTGTTCTAGACCATGTAGATTGTTCTAGACCATGTAGATTGTTCTAGACCATGTAGATTGTTCTAGACCATGTAGATTGTTCTAGACCATGTAGATTGTTCTAGACCATGTAGATTGTTCTAGACCATGTAGATTGTTCTAGACCATGTAGATTGTTCTAGACCATGTAGATTGTTCTAGACCATGTAG